TATAACACCTGGAATTACGCACCTAAATATAACCGTCCCACCTTTAATACTATTTCTTATTACGAGGTGGTTAAACTTTATTGTTATAAGGGGTTTTTATTATTTAAACAAAGTCGCTACCGACCAACATAGGAGGAACAACTCCTGTCAAGCTCTACCTCTATTAACTCTGCAATTTACATCTAACTCCTACTTCTACCATTTCAAGACCTTTTACAATCATTTACTTAAACAACAAGATGCACCTCAACACTTTCATTGCCATCTTTATGCCTGTAGCTTTGGTGCAAGCAAGTCGTTTCATCGGCGCAGGCACTTGCGCTGCAGACTTTACCTGCAATATCGACACTAAGTTAGCCGATCCGGCTCAATCTTGTGCAGGTCCCGGCCACTATGCTGGCGAAGGCAACGGTGGAAAGACAAGCTGTACACCCCCCGGCACTCAGTGTACGTATTATTGGGAATGCTAGGCGAGCAAACAGCAAGTGAACCTTGCTAAGCAAATACATCTGCGGTCGCGAGAACGAACCGAGCCTTGGACAGAGGTGCGGCGGCAACGGCGGCGGCATCTGGATTTTATGGATGCTCGACAAGATCATGGTTTACTCCGTGCCGGACGATTTTAGAGAGCTCGGATTGCTTTGCACGTCTTTGTTCGAGACTGGTAGACTTTTCAGCTATCGGCATATTTAATTAATCATGTGGATGCTGTCTCTTGTTCTTCGCGGCGATAACGTTTCTTTCCTAGAAAGACCAAAACTATCTTATATGAACTGATTGTGAGTCTGTATGTATAAGCGCCTGATTGGAGTGTAATAAATGATTTCGAGAGTTGATGTTCGATTGCTGTGATGCCAACTCAAAGAATCAAAGCTTAGACTTCAAGCTTTCCAACACACTCAAATCTCGAGTCTGCTCGAGGTCCGTCAAAATCTGCTCTCTGGTGCTCGACACATCCCGCTCGACTTCAGCTGCATACAACTTCTGGGTTGCCTCAGTAATGGGGCCCTCTCTTTCCATCACTGATCTTACGATTATCAACCTGAGAAACATGGATCTGCGACGGAAACGTCCCATTTGTAGACATTCTGAAGCGAATATGCCAAGCGTGTCAGGAGAGCTAGTAGGTGGCGCGGACGGGGTATCTGTCGTATGAGTCTGTACGCTGGGTGGCTCACAAGTTGTTGGCCCGTACACTTTGATCCGTGCCGCTCGAAGAAGGCCGCGATACTTGAGTAATCCTTCTTCTTTCATACGGCTAGTACCGCGCTCGATAAGATCAATGCATGCAGACACATCACTCCCATGGGAGTGAAGGAGGGTGGGGTCAGGATTACGGATCATCGCTCTGATATGCCTGGATGTATTCCATTAGCTTCCGGTATACGAGGGGGCAGTAGAAAGATTCCTGTTGTAAAAGGGTTTCATGCAAATACTGGACAAGAAAGGAGCTTACCAATCACAATACAAGCCTGCTAGTCCTAGCATCAAGACGGAGTGTACATGACGGACGTACCAACAGACGGCCATGATGCCATGATAGAGCTCCAAATCCAGCCATTAGCGGACTATGCTAGACACAGATCGAGAGCATATCTCAATTATGTCGCTGGAGGGTATCATGAAGGTGGGAGATGGCCGGTACATTAGAAGCAGGAGAAGCCCATATTCAACCTTCATCTCAGAGTATTCTCGCGTGCCGCTAATTTCAAGAAGTGTCATCTCCCCCTCCCATCCTTCAAGTTTTTTTTGTACATCTTCGATTTCGCTGCGGATCTGCTGGAATGTAGTTCTGGACGCTCGCCCATCCGGCGCCCTGGCGATGTAGACAGATTCGAGAACATGCCCGCCTATTTGGCGCAATTTTACAAGATGGTAGGAAAGTCTCACGTTAAGGCGTTTGAATACGGGTGCTGCCTGCACTTTAGCAGTTGTCAGGTCGTCCAGGCTGCTAAGTGATGGCTTTGGCGCATCTATCGCGTGGTCTCGAACCGATAGTACTCGACCTGTGATCACTGCGACCTGTCTCTCCAAGCTGTATACGCACCACCAGGTGCGACTACGAATCTCACGATCCTCAGCAGTAAAGTCTCCCGCAGTGACGAAACGCCGATGAAGCCCCATTTCTATGGCCATTGACATGGCATAGCGGCTCAGTTGCCAAAGGTCATCGCCATGGCTCCTAAGATTCGATTCTAGCATCCATTAGCCCAATAAGAGTACAGAATGAAAACCCCGAAGGTCTCTCGGGTGGTCGTGGAAATCGAGAAAGAAGCAAAACCCTGTCTGAAAGTGATCAGCTGGGCTGTTCAAGTCCATCATTCTCCGATATTCTTGGCTTTCGGGCCAAGTGGCAGAGGCCAAAGTCAGAACCAAGAGAACTAGAGATTTCGGGTGTGCAGTACATCGTGTCGGTTCCTCATATATGCTTGCGAGGCTTCTCCTCAGGAACGGAAGCGAGATGAATGGCCACCAAACATGAACGCGGCGGATATACGTTTGCAAGAGGAAAACTGCAACTGGCTGTGGCGGGAGCGCTGCATTTCTTCGAAGAAGCTGTTGGTTCAAGCCAGAGAAGTCTCCACGCTTTGATTGCAATTTTGAGGGGAGAGATTCCAGGTTGATCTGCTTGAAGAAGATTCGGGCAAAGGTTGAGCCAGTGGCACTACCCACTGGGAGGCATAAAATTGATCAATGTCCAGTATTCACAGACGCGGTCCGGCACACGAGACTCAGGCTGGGGGGAACTCACTGTATATCCTCTCGGAGTAGCTGTTAGGTCTTCCGATAGCCAGAACACCGATCTCTTCGGCTTCTTTACGGACATCGTTAAAGTGACCAAGCTCAGACGCCTTGGAGGTTGGTCAGATGAGTTTCGAGAAAGGATATCGAGCCTGTTTTGAAGCTCGGCGATCCGATCTTGTAAGCTTTTGACAGCTGCGTAAGGGTATGTCACGCGATCGGTGATATTGCATTGCTCATTCTATCGATAACATGCTGAGCATCGAGGAACCCGAAGGTCACACTTCAGAATGGTCAATTGGTCTTTCTCGCAGTACTCTGCGAGATTGGTTCACCTTGACTTTTCGTGCATGACAGCGACTGCAAGCCTTTGACACTGTCGGTGGGAAACGCGTTTCTCAGCTTGGATCCATTAACTAATGATTTCATAATACGTAGATCGATTTCGTATGGCGGTAGAATGGATCACCAGGGCCGGGAGGTGCCCAAGTCTTGAAGGGTATTGCCCAACAGTGCACATACAGGACATCAATGCGTGTTAGAAAACCGTGTGTCTGTGGTTTCGATGGAAGGGGCCCTCATGATGGACCCACTTGCCGATATTAGTAGGCACCTGCCTGCCTAACAATGTAAGTCAGCTCCATGTAGGTGGTTCGGTGAGTGGCGTCTCGGTGAATGATGCCGCTGGTGTAAATGAGGTGGTTTGGGTGCCTCGTTCTACAAAGCAGCCTTGCTAGAATATACCCGTTGGGCTCAGATACTGAGAGAAGTATTATTCATAGCGAACAAGAGATTTCGCTGGCATTTACTCCATACCCGCCACTGAGAAAGACACCAGGTATCACAGCCATTACTTACTCACCTTCTCCGTCCGCCAACGAAACCAGCAAGTTTAGAGTCTAGACTTCACCACCAACCTTCGACAGCTCCTTCTCATCGTGTGAAAGCTTCGAAATACAAGAACCCAACCATTCACCTACGGGAATCAAGTCCTGAAATATGAGTCCCGCTGCCAAAATCGCCGTTCTGGTCCTCATGCTCACACTGCTCATCTGCGTTATTGCCTATTTCGCCCGCCAACAAATTCACACCTTCGCCAAGGTCCTCGCCCATCACCGAGCAGCACGCAAGGAGGAGACGACTGAAAACGCATCTAACGAGACCACCGTCTAAAGGTAGGATACCAGTCGACCCCACCACTTATAGAATTCGGGGTAATCACCCAATACCCCAATCATTCTCACAGTGTGGCTTGACCCCGGTGTCACCGAAGTAGTGTGCATCAGCCACACCAGATCTCCCTTCTCCACCAAAAAATCCATCTTCGGAAGCTCTCCCAAGCACTGATCGACTGACCTCGTTGCGCCTCTAGGACCTCCCCTCCCGCGACACCAAGCCATTCTTCAGCAATGGCATCTCGACGCGCCCTCCGCTCACCATGGAGCGTGCGATCCTTCTCGAGCCGGCTTAGCACATCACCTGCCCCCGTCTCTCGCCCCTTCGCAATCGCCTCACGGTCCATCAACACGTCCGACTCGTCCGCTGACAGCAAGACAACACACTTTGGCTTCAAGACCGTGCCCGAATCCGAGAAGGCCGACCGTGTTGCCGGCGTCTTCCACAGCGTCGCCGACTCGTATGATCGCATGAACGATCTCATGTCGTTTGGCTGGCACAGAGTATGGAAGTACGTCTCCCACCCTTACCCAGTGCATCCCATCACACAACCACTAACACCTAAATCGTAGGGACCACTTCGTCTCGGGCCTCCAACCGGGCCTATCGGCCTCAAACCCTCCAACTCCTCAACACATCCTCGACATCGCCGGTGGCACTGGCGACATCGCCTTCCGCATGCTTCACACGGCACATAACCTGAACCACAACCCCGACGTGCGCGTCACCATCTCCGATATCAACCCTTCCATGCTAGCTGTCGGCCGCGATCGATCAAAGAGTTTGCCCGCCTCCCAGCAGGCCGCCATGTCTTGGCTCGAGGCCAACGCCGAGAAACTGCCCGAGGGCGCTATCAAGGACAACTCGATCGACCTGTACACCGTCGCCTTCGGTATTCGCAACTTCACTAACATCCCCGCCGCCCTGCGCGAGGCCTACCGCGTACTTAAGCCCGGCGGCGTCTTTGCATGTCTCGAGTTCAGCAAGGCGGATAACTACCCGCTCTTCAACACCATTTACAAGCGCTGGTCCTTCAGCGCCATTCCCCTGATCGGCCAACTTGTTGCTGGCGACAGGGACAGCTACCAATACCTCGTCGAGAGTATCGAGCGCTTCCCGAGCCAAGAAGAGTTCAGGGACATGATCAAGGATGCCGGCTTTGTGATTTCGGGTGACGGTTATGAGAACCTCACAGGTGGCGTTGCGGCCATCCACAAGGGTATGAAGCCTGTCGCGTAAGCGATTAAGGGGTAGAGAGGCGAGATATAAGGAGGGCCCCATGAAGGGGCGGGTTGAGCCGGCAAGGCTCATGTACAATGTGTGTATCTGTAACAATACGAGAAGAAAGACGGATCAATGGCATGGCTGCATAGACGGTGGGCACCCAGGTAGACTCCACACGAAAAAGCATGTATATCAAGGCGGCCGCTGGCCCTGTACAACAGCCACTTGCAACCAGAGTGTCAATGACATGTTGCTCATCTTCTCGGGCCAAGGCCATGCTAATCTGAGTCAAAGTCAGGACACGTCTTGACGCCTCACTGCATTTTCACCAAGAACGATAAAGGACGAGAAGTCGACAATTAGTAATTCTCGAAACCTGCAATGCCCGTTCATCATAGAGTTTCAATGTTTCCTGGAGCGATGCTATAAGCATTCCCTACCTAGGTAGACTGCGCGAACCACTGGGCGCAAGGAATGGGCCACTCCCCTACACGAACGATATTGTGATAGTTGCAGGGCACCCTCTTACACATAAGCCCTCGAGACTTCGCTCAGCCCATGGCAGCAATACACAAAAGCGTGTTTTGTTTTGACGTTGAATTGGAATCTGTCCGTTCCGACACCCCTAACAGCCATTTCCCGCCTTCCGAGAGGGACGAACCAACCGGAATAGACGAAATATCATCACCCCTCAAGTCCGCCTTCCCTTTTGCTCTCCCAACTCCCAGCCGAAGCCGTAAAATGCCCCTTTAGTCCCTTATCGATCAAAGAAATCCCAGCAAGGATAAACAGGAGAGTGATTGAGAAAGAAAGGTTTCTTTTGAAAAAGATTCTCGGATAGACTGCCGTCCAACTCGAGAAAAATACCCCCGTCTCCCACTCAAGCTGTCTCATTAAGGTACGCGTACAAGAATTGGTAGCACTTGTTTTTTCTTCTTCTTTGGCCTCTCCCCTTTCTCCTTTCGTTACTGGGCAAAAACTGATTTGTTTTTTGTCCTTCATTCCCTTACTCCCGAGGGGCCAAACTTGGCCATTACGGCTCCAAATACTTCATTCGATGGTTGAGTTCGCTTCGATCCCGAAGCCCGCGCCATCTTCCATAGTTCATCAAAGGGTTCGAGCGAAGAGTCCTACTCCGCAGGGGTGGCAGGGCCAGGAGCAGGCGAGGCACCACCTTCACCCTTAAGTCCGCCTCGGCCACGGCCACGTCCCCGCTCACCTCCGCGGCCTCCTCGGCCTCCGCCACGGCCACCACGGCGGGTGCTCTCAGAGTCACTGGCGCCACCTGCGCTGCGGTAACCGCTGCCGGTGTTCGCCGAGTTGCCACCACCTCTGCTGCTGCCCCAGTTGCCAGCACCGCCGCGAGGCTGGAACTTGCTCTCGCGGTGCTGAAAGACCTTGACCAGAGGACGGGACCGGTCCTCTTGAGCACGAGTCTTGAGGTCCTCGGGCAAGCTGTTGAGAGCGGCATCACGGTCCTCGCCGGTCTTGAACTGGACAACCTTGTTCGAGTTGCCCCACTTCTCGACCTTGAGAATATTGTTTCTATGCTCGCCGTCAAAGAGCTCGCGCGCCTGCTCTTCGGAACTGACATTCATAATGAACAGACCGATGATATCCTGAGCAGGCGTCTTGGGTGCAGGCGACGAGACAGGATCAGGGCCGTTGGCCGATCCGTTAGCGGCTGCGGGTGCAGGACGCTCATCCTTGGGGGGTACGGCGGGCGGCGCAGGAGTAGTAGAGGGCTGAGGAGTCGCAGGCTTGGCAGGCGGTAGAGGCGTTGCAACAGCAGGCTTAGAGGGTGCTTGGGAGGAAGACTGTCTGCTGGTAGGCGGAGGAGCTGTGGTCTGCGTCGAGGGAGGCGCCGAGGCGGGGAGGTTGCTCGCACTAGCCGGTCCAGAGGGAACGGGCGCGGCCGCCTTAGCACCTCTGTGTGAGAAATTGAAGCCCTGGGCACGCATCTCGGTTCCAATACGTCCGTCCTGGATCTCGAGCACCAACCAGCCAAATGCGGCATCTGCCAAATTGAAATTCCACATGTTCTTGAAGGCGCTCTCATCAACCTGACCGAGCTGAGCCTGGCCAGCAGCAGGGCCACCGAAGGGATTACCGCCGGCGGCAGTAGTGGGCATCTTCTCGACGATCTGGAGGGCATTCTTGAGCAGGTTCTGTTGCGCCTCGTTCTGGGAGATGGCCGGCTCAACCTCGTTCTTGACAGTCTCCCAAACGTCGTTGAAGGACGCCTTGGAAGCGGCAAGCTTGCCGCGGTAGTGGTCGAGGGTGGGGTTTACACTGAACTCGTTATAGGAGCTGCCATATCGGAAATGGAGTCCAGCGGAGACAGAGAAATCGGCCTTGAGGGTGACGGAGAGCTGGTTCAGGATACCCTCGCGAGCGGGAGAGGCGTGGGTGACGAAGACGCGAGTCTCGGTGGGATCGTAGACTCGGTGGGCGGTATCGACGAGCTCGCCCATCTGGAGAAGGGTGGTCCACATGGTTCCCTGGCCTCCAGCAATGGTGGTTCTGCCCTCGCCGTTGTCAAAAAGCTTGTGCATAACAACAGCACCGCCGAGACCCAGAAGGCGCAGCTTCACCCCACCGAGTTCGAGGAGCATCGAACGGGCCTCGTCGATGATATGCAGGTTCTGCACCTTGTACTCTCCGGATCGGAACTTTTCCAGAACGCGGACGTCTTCGCAAGCACCCCAGACAGTGTATACCGGAACATCGAGCTTGATCTCGCCGCTCAAGAGGAGAGGAAGTTCGGAAAGGGGGAGCTCATTTGCGGGGAATCGGCTCTTGACGGGCCCAGGGCCGCCCTGCTGGATCGCCTTCTTGACGGGCTCCGAGATCAGAGGAGAGTACTGAGCAACATGCTTGAGGGTCCTTGGTACCAATGTCAGAATGACAGCGGTCGGGTATAGAATCGTGGAGTGTTTATTCCTTACTTTTCTGCAATTCGCTCTAGAGAGGTGTCGTCGTAGAAGCCAAAGTCGCCGGTGTGGATGATGTGATCGGCTCGTGCTTGT